TCCAGACAAAAACAGCACTCTTGGACGTCACTACTGCCCGGCTCCGGAGGTTGCATCACCAGCTGATGTAGACATAACTAAATGTAAACTTTGCCAGATGGAATATTATCACCTTGCGTCATTATGTGCAGGAATACAATAAAATTAACTGATTCAGAGACAACTCACCCATAAATGTTCAAGAAATGTCGAAGTATTTTACCCTCACTGGTATATTACCAACCATTCCGGAAAAATATCCTGTCTTTGCTCACTGTAAATAATTCAAAACCACTTAAACTTGTTTTTGTTTTAATAAGCATACCATGCTCAAATATAAGGTAATATTATTGTGACATAATTCATGTCTGTATAAATAACGCTTACGATTATAACCAGATATACCACTACAATTTGTTTAGCAATCTAAACTTTGCGACTCAGTCCCTGGACCCATTATTTACCTCTGTAATATTTTGACTACCACCCACATGATGGGTATGAGGTGAATAATAAAGATATTAAATTAGCTCTAGTTAAAATAATGTTCTTTGTGTGATTGGAGCTACTTAACTTTTGAAGGTAAAAATTAATTTTAGGACTATTGTTTAAATAAGTGTCTGTCCTGTAACCTCTCGCCGAGGCGTCACAAAATGTTCAAGATAAGTGAACTGTAGATATGTAGATATAAATCCATATGTGCACCTGTTAACCCTTTTGGGGCCTAGTTCCTAGGCCTTTTGTGTATCCATATGCTCTTGCGCTACGGTCTACAGGATGGATATGGGGTGCACAATAAACTAGCCACTTTGTTTACATATTCAAAATATCTCCTTTTCTCATAATATTTCTCAGTACTAGGCCTTATACTTGAGTCTTTGGAACAATCAAGGAGTTGGCCCCGGGCATCACCAGACCTCTGCACGCCACTGCATTCTGGGAAAGTTGATAAATTAGACACACATGCAACATTTGGGTACCTTTATTGAGGAAACGTTTCGCCACACAGTGGCTTCATCAGTCCATACACAGGAGAGCATTGA